TGGAGCTTAAGGGACCCTGCCCCTGGGTCTCAGCTGAGATGCCCATCGGCACTGTCCCGGTAGTGGTCACTGTGATGTGCCATGTAGATCGCCTCCCAGACAAAAGGACTTATTCCTCCAGACGCCAACGCAGCCCTTAGCTGTCAGTCTCCTCCAGGTACTGCTTTGTCTCAAGAGACTGGCTGCACCTAAGGCCATATGCCCTTCCCTTGGGCCCCAGTGCCTGACCCACCAAGGGTGTAAAGGCCCTCACCTCCAACTCAGGATAACCTGGGGCCCCTTTCATCTTCGAGTTTCTGGTTGGTTTGGGTAAGACCTTTTACTGAAACTGTATCACAGCACGACTTCTCTCTCTGTCCAATCCTGCTCTGTTTCTTCCCTTTCACGGGTGTCAGTCCAAAAGTCCTCCCTAATAAATATCCTACATGCTAATCTCCATCTCAGAGTCTGCTTCACAGGGACCCGGCCACACTTCCAACCACTTCCCTTAGAACCACAAGCAAAATGCCAGAAAACCTAAGTATCTGGTGAATTGTCACAACCTATAATTGAGTTAACGAATGTATTACTCCACCATTTATTCACTCGTAGGTCATCACCCAAAGACATTTTCAAAAATTCATGCTGATCTTCAGGGTTTAAACTACAGCCAAGCTAAAACTGAGAGTATGTTTTCTCTAGGTCTGAACATACGGAGATTCTGATTCGGATTTACACATGGACACAAAAAGTCAACCAAGGTTGGCCAAGACACACCCACTCCCCCGGAATCTCTGAAGGATTTAATCTCTCGCTTTGGCAGCAAAAGGTATCAAAATGGAATTTCTTGCTGGATGAAAGGCTGGGGGACCCTATAAAGCTGAAATCAGAATCAGACAAAATGAAGACTTTACTAAACTACCTGCAAATTTTAGCAAACAGATGCTGAAATGACATTAGTGCTGACGTGGTCACAAGATATTATGCAACTAGCAGAAATGTAGGGGACAGGCATGCTGTCTGACCCCGCTGGTAACTCGGCCTCCTAACTTCTGAGCACGCACAGGGAATCGCAGAGTCCTTTCTTTTTCTCTCACTCTCTTATCTCCTCTGCTCTTCCTTTTCCCCAAAGCAGAGGCTTAAGGAATCCAAAAGACCTAGATACCCTTCTGTCCTCATCCCTTATTAGTTATGTGAGCTTGAAGAAGTTATTAACCTGAGTCTCATGTTCCTTACCTGCAAAAAGGGAGGTAAAAAAATTCTTTGGTGCGGTTGGCAGGAATGAAAACATTAACCCCACCGGCAGAGGCATGCAAAGCATGTCATAGCACCGTGCTTCACACTAACGTGAACTAGTAGTGGTTCTCACCTTAGCTGCGCAGTGGAACGAACTGGGGACCTTCAAAAACACTGAGGCTGGGAAAGCATCCCCAGAGAGTCTGATGTAATTGGTTGGGGATGCTGAAGCGTCAAAAACCTTTAAAGCTCTCTCCGGGTGATTCTACAACGCAGCCAAGGTTGAGAACTACTGCTCTCTGCAGATACTTTTACTGAAGCCACACAACTACCCCCATGGGTTTAGTACAATTATCTGTCCTCCCCTCATTTTTACAAACAAGGAAATTGAGGTTTAGAAAGGTTAGAAGATTGCTCAAGCATACAAAACCATTAAGGGGCAAATCTGAGAGCTGAATTCACACAGTATGACCCCAAAGACTTTACCCATCATCAGCACACTGCTGTCCTATCATCCAACCTACTGAATGTAAAGAACCTTCTTCCAG